ATTTTCAATGCGACTTGAAATAATGACACCACACCCAAAATAACTTGGACTCCCTCAAATTCTTGACACACACCAACTTTCTTTAGCTCATCGCACGATAGTCTGTAAGAAGATTTGCGACTACCCGGAAGAAAATTATAGGCCAATTAAAATAGACGCCCTCTGAATCAAGTGAACAACGTACTTTTGCGCATAACTCTGGAACGGATGATCGGATTGTAAAAGTGAGAACACCTCTGAAAAGCCATTTAAATTCGCCAGAATTTGAACCCAGACGCCCATCAAAGGCATAACCTCGTCTGAAAAATTTGACACAACAACTGTCTTTCGCCACCAACTTCCTAGTCTGTCAAAGGGTTTGCAAAAATTGAAGCTGCATCAAAAAGCCCTTTAAATTAGTTATTATTAGACCACTTCTAAAAATGTTATTGACCAATTAAAACAGGCGCTCTTTGATTGAAGTGAACCAGGTTGTTTTGCGCATAACGCGGGAACGGATAGTCTGATTGCAAAAGCGAAAACAGCTCCGGAAAGGCCGTAAAATTCTCCACAAGTCTCCAAAGCAAATTTTGCAATACGTCCTTTAACAAAGTGGATAAACGGGATATAATCGGGTCTCCCCTCAAACACCCTAGTTCGTTAGTAGACAAAATACTGTTATGCAGCGCATTTAGCTTGGAAAACATTATTGCGTCCTCTAAATTATCCAAAAACATAATTAAGTTTTGACAATATAAGTTTAATTGCGTTATTGACCCATGAAACCCAAGATAATTCTGAACGTTGGTTATGGTTTGTTGCATTAGTTGCTGAAAGGACATTGTACTTAATCTAAGTTTGTCCAGATTGTCGTTAAGGGTTGTTATGGTGTTATTGTAATGGGCGATTAAACCTTTGGATAGTGACATCTGAAGTTTCAGTTCATTGTTGATATTTATTTGATTACGCTCTAAAGTAGCAATTGCTTCATTGTAATGTTGGTCGTCTTCAGCGTCAAGTGTACTAAAAAGCCATTTATTAATTTGCCCTACCACATTTAAGAGGCCTCGTTGTTTGAGAACAAGAAATAGCAGGTATAGAACTAAATTTCCTTAGTTAAATTCACCATTCCACTCGCGTCTCGAGTAACAATGGGTCTGTCCTTCGGCTACAAAACTGTTCTTATCCCTGTCGGACAAGGGCAAATTAAGATATAACGGCTTTTAGCCACCCCGATTATGTACTGCATTTTTGCCAAGAGACAGTACCATAGATAAAGACGAGTATAGATTACCAACTCTCTTGCACAATACAATATGGAAGCAATGTCGATCCAACCGCCATTCATGATGGCTACAGGCACAACTGCGCTTCTTTACCTAACTGTACAGAGGCAAGACTTGTTTCCGATTTATAAACAAATATATTAAATTGAAAATAAACATTCTTCTAATCTCAATTAAAGTACTGGGTTGCCGACAATAGCAGATACATATTTAGACAGTAGTGATTGGTGTTTGGATATGTTGATAATAGAAACTTCATAAGCATTTTCAATTTTTTATTGCAGTAAATAAATCGCCGAAACGCCAAGTACCATTAATTTGTGAAAAGTGTATTATACAAACCACAAACCTGTGATTATAAATAAACAAATAATTCAATGTAACAACTAATGAATTAATTAATTCAGTGCAATTATGAATGCAGATACATATTTAGGTAGTTGGATGATTGTCACAATAATATATACCGACATATACTTGGGTGCCATGAGATCGGTTTGATAAGTCTAAAATCTACAGTAATAAGTAGTTATAAAATACTTTTACCTACGACCTCTACTGTAAGTAGGTTTATACAAAATGTCAATATACAATAGATAAAATATGCAAATTGGTCTTTTAGTTTATTACAGTTAAATTTACATCTGACTTCCTCATTTATTGTATATTATTGAGTATATGTACTTACACGGAACCGTGACGATATTTGATGTGCCAACATAGTCATATGTTGTTCCAGCAATATCACATATGTTGGCTGATGGTTGCACCAACCGTCTTTTGCCAGGATAGACTTTTGCTGGCTTCATAATAGCATCTAGCGGACTCCACTTGGTGAAAGACGTGCCTGACTCGAGAGGAAGATCTTTCACTGGGGTCACACATGCTTGAGCATATGGTATACCTTCTCAAAAGAAGCTGTTTTCCTTGGAAGCTGCACCTTGAAAACCTTCGAAATGTATGTAGGATATAGGGTGAATAATATATGTAGTAGCAATCTATAAAACAGGCAAGCTAGTCTTATTTAAACATACCTGGAAGGCCTTTTGGTGGTAGGCAATTTAATATTAGTCTCCCGTTTGTCTCGGTAAACGGTCACACCCAGTCCGCTTGATCCAAACCATTCTCAAGTTTTGATTCTGAGGAAATGCACACCTAAAAGTATTCTGCTTTTATTTCGTTTTAACTTGAATCCGAGAAATGTACGAAACCAGCAACATGTGGGTTTCGTCCAACAATCCACATGTATATAATTGTAGTAATGCTGAAGATACTTACCGCCTTGAAGATGTATCATTGGACTGAGGCACACAGCAACGTGCAATATTAGTGCTCATTTTTTAAAATCTATGATAGACGCCACGGATTTACGAGTAATCTATGGTCTCGCTTTTAAATATGTAAACTCCTTTTAACCTAAAAACAGCAAAATCCCACGTTTTATATATTCGCTGTCGTGTCACATAATCTATGCCCTTAAGTGGAAACTGTAACATTGTCTCTTTTATGCCCTCAAGTCGAAACTGTAAAATTGTCTCTTCAATCAATTTATCTTCATCTGATCAATCACAGAAGGCCGGGCTGCGTTCCCAAAAACATGGGTACGAGCATGGCTATATGAGAGAGCCCCTCATGGACAGTACGACTCCAATCGCCAAAGCATGCGCTATTCTGTACGCGTAAACAAGATCGAAAAATATCGACCTTGTTTACTGTTATTCAAGGAAATTGGGAATCCAATTTTTATTTTTATTCATTAAATATGTAAGATATACTTATTTATTGTTTAATATTAGATTGGATATGTTTGTCATTATACCGGGTGGTCAACTTTGATGACATTTAACAACAGCGAGCAAAATTACAAAACTGATAGTTGTAGGTGTATCTGCAATGAACTGAGTTTGTGTTTGCTAGTTTATTTGCTTCAAAGAGAAGTTATTCACGTAGCGTATGAGCTTTTTACAAAATTTCATTGACTAAACTAATTTAATCCCGATAGTGGCGATGTTTCAAGTTGTCAATTAGCAAATAATATCATTGTATACCATTTGAGCGACGAAATGAGTACAACTCCCAATGCTACCCAATTAGTCAGGATTTCTTAAATCATCCCTCTAGATGAGCAGTTTTCAAACTTTTTTAGTGGCGGAACCCTTTTAAAGAATTACATTTTTAACGGAGCCCTAAACCCTAACTTAACTAAACGCAAAACGAGTTATATGTGTATTGTTTATTAATAAGCTTACAAAAAAGGTCTAGTTTTTTAAAAATAGCTACGCTTCGACGATATCTTGTGTTTTTTTAATGGAAAGGATATACAAAAATCCTATTTTTTTATTCAATTTTCAAAGGTTTGGCCAACATTTTACCTTGATTCTGACACTTTGGTTATTCGTGCGTCTGTTGCGGTGTTTCAAAGTTTGAATAAAGCAATGCCGATTTATTTATTTGCAATAGTTCAGGAAGTAAATATAACGAAATTAACAAATCTATAAAAAAGAAAACAAGAGAAGATTTAAAGCAGTACAACACAAAAGTGATAACAACGACTATCGAAAACAACAAGAACATGAAAATACTTAAAACACTTAACAATAATACGTCAACTAAAGGACACAGACGGAAACATCAAAGAAGACAGAAAAGATTTAATGGAGATTGTGGAAATTTTTTACAGCACACTATACACCAAAAATAACCCAATGCAATAAATCGAAGCTGATGAGACGATTCTCAATGTGGGCTCCGAGGACCTGCCCGACATCACCATACAAGAAGTAGAACTAGCACTGTCTCAAATGAAGATGGGATTACGGCAGAAATGATAAAACTTGGTGGACACATTACTGTAGAATCAATAAAAATTCTTCTTAATAAGTGTCTAACAGAAGGCGTAATACCCCAAACATGGCAGAATGCCCAGGTGATTTTA